ACCCTGGGATCATGTAACAGAGCACAGCTCTCCTTAGAGACACCAGTAAACTGCTCTGCTCATTCAGTCTTAAACTTTTTACATCCCAGGCCCCATCCCCTACGTGCTGTGATTTTCAGTCCCCAGGATTCCCAGACTCCCAGTCCCCCTAAAAACCCTATTCTGCTCTGTCCCAGCCCACCTCCCCAGATTCCAAGCTTCATCTCCTGTTACCCCAGTACCTAGTCCCCATCAGCCACATCCTCAGGCCCAAATTCCTCAAGGTTCTGGCCCTGAGATCCCCCCACTCAAGTCCCCCCAGTTTGCTCCAGCACCAGCTCTGATGGCAACTCCCAAGGACTGGAAGCCAGACCACCTCCCACCCTGCCCAGAGCCCCTGTGCTTCGAACACATCCAGGGAGAGGGGAGTCCCAGTGATGGCTGAGCTTGGCTGATCTCCGGCTTGGTGGGTGGAGGGGAGAGGGATGGTGACCCTTCATTCAGAAAAACGAAGAAGTGTGATGTTCTTCATGTCAAGACTCCTGGAGCCAGGTGCCATGATACTGCTTTGAAGAGGGACCCAGCCAGCCAGGCCATCCCCATTCAACACAGTGGACCCTCAAGAAACGTGAAGCCTGCCCCCTGTTCCATGTGGAGACCTCAGCGGGAGGGGATGACTGACTCCAGGCTCCCAGCCCCGCACTTGCCTCACCATCAGCTCACCCCAGCTCCCTGGCCCCCTGGAGGATCCACAGTGGCCTCACCACAGGGGCCTTTCTCACTATCTCTGCTCTCCAGTGGAGGTTTCCAGACCCCTGGCTTTGCTGCGCACATGCTTTCTTTTCCTGTCTGCATTCTTTGGTCTGGGTATGAACACCTCTTCTCTGCCTTCCCCATGCTGGTGGCCTGCCTTTCCAGCGACCTGCATACAGAGTTGGTGCTTGGCCCTCTGTAGCCACACCACCCCGCTCAGCACTCTCAGAAGGGTGCCATCCACAGAATGATTCTACAAAGGGAACACTCTGGGGCGCCTGGGTGGCTCTTGATCTTGCCTCAGGTCTTGATCTCAGGTCTTGAATTCAGGCCCTGTGCTGGGCGTGGGGCCTACTCAAAAAACAACACAGGAAACATTTGGGGAGGCTCAGGGGTGTCAGGAGGGGCCGGGTAGGAAATCTTTTCCAATCTGCTTTTTAATTAGCTCAGTTTTCCCACAGCCTTTGCAAAAGGATGGAAATTTCAAAGTTGTCTGCAGCTTGTCTTTCACCAAATTAAAATGCTCATACTGTTATGCACACACAAAAGAACTTCCCCCAAGAGCAGCCCTTGGGACCTTGCCTGCCCCCTGCCTGGCCTGGCTCTGGGCATTCTTCTTCTTCTTTTTTTTAAATATTTTATTTATTTATTTGACAGAGAGAGACACAGTGAGAGAGGGAACACAAGCAGGGGGAGGGGGAGAGGGAGAAGCAGGCTCCCCACTGAGCAGGGAGCCCGATGCGAGGCTCGATCCCAGGACCCTGGGATCATGACCTGAGTCGAAGGCAGACACTTAACGACTGAACCACTCAGGCGCCCCACCTGGGCATTCTTCTGAGAGGGTCCGATGCCCTGGGAATTCTCCCTTGCAGGTCAGGAGCGGGTCAGAGAAGCACTATGCTAAGGAGCTGGAGGTGGAGGCCTAGGAGAGGAAAAGGTCATGGGGAGGGTGACAGGGAGAGTTGCCAAGAGAATGACTGACTCTCCCCCAAGCAAGAAAAGATGGACCAGCACTGGGGGTCCTAAGGTCTGAGCTGTCCTGAATGTTTCAGGGAGGCATGCTTCACTATGTCCTCGGTGTGATGGATAGCAATCAACTCACCTTTGCTTAAACAAGCAGGAAATTGTGCACCCTCGTAACTTGAAAGTCCAAAGATCTAGCTTCAGATGCAACTGGATCCAGGCACTCCTAGGATGTTTTCTGGGTTCTGCCTCTCTCCACCTCTCACCCTGCTTGCCTCCGGGGAGCCTTCATTCTCAGGAATAGTTTGGGGAGCTTTTTATAGCTCTTGGGATGACTGACATCCTAAGACAGATGTCACGGTGGACCCTGATTTGCTCCATAGGAGCAACGGTCCCTTAGCTCAATCACCGTGGGCAGGAGGATGGACATAATGATTGGATCATCCGGGTCACCCACCCAACAACAGGGTGGGGGTAAGGGGTCCTGTGATTAGCACCCCATCAGAACCCTAGTAGCCTCTGAGCCCCCCGGAAGGGGCAGTGGAGAGAAGGAGGTCAGCGCTTGGAGTGGGTAAGTCCAAGTGGCCTTGTGGCCTCAGGCAGTTAGCCTCCCTGAGACGGGGTGGACATGGCCAGGGTGGCTGATTCCGGAATGGCTGATGACCTGCACTCATTCACTGGACAGGGTCCCAGATGCTCCCACACTTCCATTTTCTGGTGCCACAAAAGCCAGGAGGTCCCTTTGAATTCCATGGAGGAGAGGAAGCCCCTTAGAGGACCATTGTCCCATGCCTTTTTTTTTTTTTTTAAGATTTTATTTATTTGACAGAGAGAGACACAGCAAAGAGGGAGGGGGCCCTGAGCAGATGCTAATGGGAGGACACAACCATTTTATCATCCAGGTGTTGTCATACCTTCAACCGCATTGGAATTCACACCTCCTTAGGGACTCCAATAGGTTGAGAACCACAGGGCCTTTAGTCATTCCACCAAAGCCAGGTGAGGCTTGCCCAGACACGCACAGGCTCAGTCTCAGGGGAAGTAGCCACACACCTGGGAAAGGAAGCTGCACGTGGCAGGCCACACCTTAGCTAGCCCTTCTCTGGTTCTGAGGAACTGCGGGGCCTGCTCCTGGTGGTGGGACAGGGCAACAGTGGGTCTGTAGCTCAGGCCTTGCTCTTACCCAGGGGGGTCCTCTCTGTGGACAGCCAGGTGCCAAAGGTCCTGCCTTGGCCACTGCCTCCCCTCTGGGGTCTCCTTCAAATTGCCCCCGGCCCTGGGTTTGAGAGACCCTCTGGGCAGGGCTGTGAGCTGGAGTCGTGGGCCACCTGCTGTCCAGCTGGAAGTGTGGGTGCCCTGGCGACCAGACTCAGTGCTGGGCAGTCATGAGTAGGAAGGGTGTGTCGGGGAGGCTCTCAAGAACTCGGCCCTTCAGCATCTCCCTCCCCTTGTTATTTCCTACAAGGCACTGACAGGAAGGCCCTTGAGGCTCCTAAGGGCAGTGGCTTCCTCAAATTGTCCACCTCCAGCCCTGACCCCCAGGTTCAGGGCCACCTGCCCCCCTCTCTCCAGGGCCTTACTCCTCTGTGGCCCTTGGGCCTGGCACAAATGCGTATGTGGGCAGAGATGAGGCTCTCGTAAATGCCTTTGATTGTCGCCTGACGGAAGAGAGAACAAGAACTGGGGGGCAGCTCCCTGAGCTCCAGCCCCAGGGTGGGCAGGGGAGGGTGCTGTTGGAGGGGGAGGGCAGAGGGCGTGCCATGCTCTCGTCCTCCTGCCTCTGAATCTCTCCACTCACCACCGCCAAGGTGGCTTCTGCAGCCCACACCCCACCTACTGGCCCCGACTCCCAAAGGCAAACAGCCACATGAACCCCCCACTGCCCCTGCTCCTTCTCCAGGCCATCAGCATCCTGGGAGGCTGGGACCTGGCAGGTGGCTTCCTGTGCTCAGGGCGGGGCTGTGTCTGAGCCACCTGGGAGCCTGGGCCCTCCCAGGACTTGATGCGGCCCCAGACCGGAGGCTCCAGTGGTCAGGGCCTGGGGCGGGGGGGGGTCTCTCCCACCTTCCTGCTCAGCTGCTCCTGCCAGGGCAGGGGAAAGAGGAGACCTTCAAAGGCCCATGTGCAGGCCAACTCAAGGACAGGCAGCTTCTGAAGTTTAAAAAGGGCATCCGGGACCAGAACAATTGTGGGAAGGGGTTGGGGCAGGCAGGGCAGGAGCCACTTTTCCCAGCCCCCACAATCACTTGGGTGAGACCCTGGCAGCAGCAGGCTCCCCACTGCAGAAATGGGGCCCCTTGTCTGTGAGAATAGGATTTCAGTGCCAGGCCAGTCACACTGGATCACAGCTCGGGTGTCCTGCCTCCCCTGCGGAGCCTGTGTCCCCCATGGGCCTCTGCTTCTGGCCTGCCCCAGAAGCCAAGAGGAGGTGACAGAAGCCTGAGCCTCTGCCCACTGCAGCTTCCATCCAATATCCTCTCCTGAGTCCTTGCCGGTCCCCTTGCCTGGCTGAGGCACTCCTTTCAGCACCCTCCAGCCCTTTGTGCAGAACCACCCACTCCAGCTCAGGCTGCAGTCAGTGCTAAGGCTCTGCTCCCTGCAGACGCTAGCCAAGCAAAGGCCCACACTGCTATCCCAGGGCTGGGGCAGGTATGGGTTGCTCAGGAACAGGGGCCACTTGTCAGAAGCCCAGGGAGAAGGCAGACGCTGCCACGTCTGCCTGAATAAAGAGTGTGGGCCATCTGCACATTTGATCACAGAAGGAGCTGGAAACTAGGCGCCTGTGGCTTAGGGAAGGCAGCAATGCTCCTGACCAGAAGGATCCCTAAACTGGCTGGAATCTCTTCCAAGCCCTACTCACTGAGCCCCTTCTGTGCCTGGACCTTGCACGGAGGCCCGGGCATAAGCCCCCTGGCAGGACCCTCCCACAGAGGAACAGACGCTACCGCTGCTGGGTCACAGCAAAAGAGAGAGCTGGTTCTGTTTGATGCTCGCGCCCAGCTGGCTCAGCCCACACAGCCCAGAGATGCTTACAGAGCAGTGACCCTGATGGGAAGAGGCCTCACCACTCAGCTGGAGATCCGGGATGAGCTGATGTTGGGTGGACACCATGCTACCTCTGACCACCGTAACCTGTTCTCCGGGGGAAGCTCTAAAAAGCGATGGGGGGAGGGGGGGCAAGGGTCCAGGGCTCGGAGGGCTGGGAGAGCAGCCGGCCAGGGGTGGGGGGCCCCTGCCCAACAGTTCGAATCAGCACTCCAGCTCAGTAGGGGTCTATCTGCACAGAAGTTGACTACTGGGACCCATGGAGTAACAGTGATTTATTGTGCAAGCCCCACACAGGCTCCAGATCTGGGCCAAGTTCACAGCCCTAGCTGGGCCCTGGTTCTGGGACTGTTCTGTGGTCCCCACCCTGACCAGCATCTGCTGTGGAGTGTACAGGCATCCATGAGCCTGCAAGTGAGGAGGGCCTCCTTGGGTCGTGGGCACTGGGGCGCTGGGGCATCTCAGCCTGACGTCACGTTCCCCATCTGCCCAGGCTTAGGGGCCACACTGGTCCACACAGTCCTTTCCACTGCGGAACACGTGGTAGATGCTGGTGGGAGGGAACATGGCGACAGCACCGAGCAGGGAGCCCACCTGGATGGCCACACCAGCTGCCAGCAGTGCCGGACGGCCGCCACCGTGCAGCAGGGAACTGGCGGCCACCTTCACATAGGAGAGCACGCCCAGACACAGCACCCACGCCAGCACCTGGGAGGACGGGCACAGCAGGCTGAGCATGAGGTGTCCCCTGCTCTGGGGGCAAACCCCTTCCCCACTGCAACCCTCTCTGCTTCAGTGTCCCCAGTGTACTCACCACAAGGACCACCCCTGCAGAGGTGCCCACCAGCGGTGGGCAAGGGCTCAGGACTGCCAGCGCCATCAGGTAGGCCCCAAAGAGCATGCCCAGCACAGAGAGACCAGCTAGCCCCGCCAGAGACCTACAGGGGTGAGCAGGAACTCAGGGCTGGCCGCACCAGGACCCAGCCCCCATCCCTAAACTCTGCCCCGAATGCCTTGGGGACCCTCTTGTACCTGCACAGCACGCCCATGGCCAGAAAGCAGGCGAGGGGGTTGGCAGCGCTGCCCAATACCACTGCCAGGTGGTAGGCCAGGCGGCCGTAGGGCAAGCAGGAAAAGCTCTGCACGGCAGGCAGCACACCATTGGTCAGCGCGTTGGTGACGGCCAGCAGGCCCAGCAGGCAGGCACCATGCACAGAGAGCAGCCGACGGGCCTCAGGCTCTGGGCTGGGAGTGGCGCCTGTGGCTCGGCTCAGTGACTCCTGCAGTGGTGAGGCCTCTTCTTCCTCCTCCTCCACTCCCGGGCCTCTTGCCCGCAGGCCAGACCCCGGACCCGCTGTGGATGCAGATGGTGGTGATGGCAGTAACAGCAGGAGACCCTGGAAGGCGGCAGCCGAAGTGACCAGAAGGGCGGTCAGCACCCAGAAAAAGGTGCTGGCAGGAAAACGCTCTGGGAAGTCGTGGGGGAGCCAAAGGGTGCCATTGGTGGGAGATGGCAAACATTCAAGGTGGCCTACGCCCTGCACGAGGGCCAGCACACAGGGCAGCAGGGCACTGAGGCCCTGACCCAAGAAGAAGGAGCGCAAGAAGGGAGGTGGTAGGTGGCTCAAGAAGGGCAGGAAAGTGACGTTAGAGGCACAGCAGGCCAGGGCCAGCACCAAGGCCAGCGTTAGGAAGGCCACGGAGTGGAGCTGCCCTGCGACTGGGGACACATGGTGCCACAGTGGGGCCAGCAGGGCTGTGCCCACCACGCCCAGTGCCTGCACCACCTGGATGGGGCCCCGCTCGCTCTTGCCCGGAGCCAGCCGCCTCCACAGGGTCACCACCAACAGACCCAGGTTCCCCACTGCCACAAGCACGGAGAGGTATGACGGGAGACTCCAGCCTGCAGGGAAGGGAGAAGACCATGTCAGGGCTAGGTGCAAAGGGACGATGGGCAGCTGCAACCCGCCTTACCTGGCACACCTGAACCCCTCTTCCCTGCGCACTCCAACTCACCCTCGGGAAGTTCTTTTACCACCACAGGCAGCTCCACCCAGATCCCGTTGATGGCAGCCCAGGAGCCCATGCCAAAGAGGGCCACCAGCAGGTGGGTCAACACCAGACGGCCCAGTGGGGGTGCTGCCATTCAGCCCAAGGCTGGGCCCTTCAGAACAGGTCAGGGTCACAGCCCGCTCCTCTTTCCCCACCTAGATCCAAAGAAAACGCTTCAGCTCTACTGGGAACCGAAGACCTCTCCTATCTTGAAAGAAACAGACAGGGATGCGGGATCACAAGTCAAAGACACAGAACTGGGATCAGAAGAGGACCAGACCGCCTAAACCAGGGAACCCGGAGGGTGCCCGCGGGTGGGGCATGGGGATGACAGGGGCCAAACACACCAAACAGCACGGCTAGGCCTGCAGGCAGAGAAGCAGGAAGCCGGGCCCAAGGAGCCCCGACCCCAGAGGGAAATGAGCAAAGAGGGACTCCATCTTCGGGTCTGAGTTGCTGCGATCACCACCACCCTCTCCCCAAAAGGGACACGGACTCCGGGACAGGGGCACCCCTACGGCGCCGCGCACACCTCTGCTGCTTCTGCTTCCCAGTGGGAGTCCGAGGCTTCAGCGAGACCCAGGACAGCAGGGGTGAAGTCGGACTCCGGGGGGAGGGATGGGCCCGGCGCCGCCCCTCGCTGCGTCGGGTGGTCGGCGAAGAGCTGCCCGGCGCGCCGGGGGACCTGCGCCTGCTGATCCTGCACCTGCGCGCTCGCCGCCCGACAGCCAGTCGTCTCGCCACCCTCAAGGGCGCCGCCTCCCGCGCACGAGCGCGGCTCCAGCGCAGAGCCGGTGAGGCGGGGAAACGCGGCTCCGCCCGGGCGGGAGCTCCGGCTCTCACGCACTGGAGGACGCCGCGGGACGGCCAGCCCCCGGCGTGGCCCATCGCCGGAAGCCCCGCCCCGGAAGTCGGGCGTTGAACCCGCGCGCAGGGGGCCGGCCCGGGGCTCAGGTCCCGCCTCCGCCCCGCGGCTTCGCCTCTTCCGTCCGCCGCGGCCGCGGAGTCCAGCTGGGAGCTATGGCTCCCGGGGCGGCGCGGCGGGCCCGACGCAGGGCCCGGGGCGCGCTGCCGGCCGGGGCGCGGGCTCGCTCGGCCGAGGACTGGTGGTGGGACCAGCTGGCGCCGAGCGGCTCCGGGTACCACCTGCTGCAGTCGGACAGCATGCTGCTGGTGCTGCCGGGCCCGGGGCCTGCCCGCACTCGCGTGCAGAGGCGTGCCGCCCGCCGCGCTCAGCGGCTGCTGCCCCCCGCGTCCCGCGCCTCGGCCGCCAAGGCCAGGCCTAGGGCTGCGCCCGCTGCGGAGCCGCAGCAGGGGCCCGACCCGGGCTGGGGCGACCGCATCCCCCTGGAAATCCTGGTGCAGATTTTCGGGCTGCTGGTGGCGGCCGATGGGCCCATGCCTTTCCTCGGCAGGTACCCCAGGCCCACCGAGCGCAGCCGCATGGCTCAGGCTGCCCTCTTGCCCACCGAGCGGGTGGCTGAGGCGGGGGCAGAGGGCGTAGCCGAGAGGGCGCAGTCTCTCAGGGGTCCAGTTAGAGCCCCCACGGCCTGTCTTTGAGCTAAGGTGGCCGCAGCGTTGTGAGAACAAAGGGGACAGGTCTCTCCTCTTAGGAAAACCCGCAGCCGCGGCCACGGAAGGCCCGGCCCCTCAGCAGAGATTTTTCTCCCAGGGCTGCACGCGTGTGCCGCCGCTGGCACGAGGCCTCCTCCCAGCCCGCGCTCTGGCACACCGTGACCCTGTCGCCCCCGCTGGCTGGCCGCCTCGCCAAGAGCGGAGCCAAGGCCGAGAAGAAGGTTCTCGCCTCTCTGGAGTGGCTTATGCCCAATCGGTGAGACAGTCCCTCTTTTCTCTATCCCCTCACTTCATTTCTGTGGCTTCTGGAAAGCCACAGGCCCATTTCTGTCTCCCTATACCGAAGTGGTGGGTGGGGGAGACGCTGACAGAGGGGCAGCGAGGGAACACTATGCAGCTCTCCCTCTGCTGTCGGCCCAGGTTCTCCCAGCTCCAGAGGCTGACCCTCATCCACTGGAAGTCCCAGGTACACCCCGTGTTGAAGGTGAGAGCTCTAGGCTGCCCTGCACACCAGCGGCGACACGTGGGGTTGCCCGGTACTTCCAGGGAGTGGGTCAGGCACCTGGAGCCCAGTGTTGCCCCATGGGGATGCCTGCCTGGTTCTCCTTTCCTGTTGTTTCTTTCAGCAGGGAGGTGTCAGAAGTGGAGCTCCCATGTTGGCTGCCAGGGGGAGAAAGGAGGCTCTAGCTGAGGCAGAGGAGAGGGTTCGGTGTCGGCCACTGGTTTCTTTCCTTTGCCGACCACAGAGACCCAATCTCTGCTGGTGCTCTGTCTTCCACAGCTGGTCAGCGAGTCCTGTCCTCGACTCACCTTCCTCAAGCTTTCTGATTGCCATGGTGTGACCCCTGACACTCTGGTCATGCTAGCCAAAGCCTGCCCCCAGCTCCACAGCCTGGATATACAGCACTCCATGGTGAGCCCTGTGTCCCCAGGGGTCCTGAAGAATCCTGGGCCGGAGTGACCGGTACCCATGTGCTGGGTTCCCAGGTGGAGTCCACAGCCGTGGTGAACTTCTTGGAGGAGGCAGGGCCCCGAATGCGCAAACTGTGGCTGACCTACAGCTCCCAGACAACAGCCATTTTGGGTGCGCTGCTGGTAGGTTGGTGACAGGCAGAAGCAGAGACGGATGCTGAGCCAGGGTCTGCCAGGCCACTGAGCCTGTGTTCTCTTCCACCTCTGCAGGGCAGCTGTTGCCCCCAGCTCCAGGTCCTGGAGGTGAGCACCGGCATCAATCGCAACAGCACTCCTCTCCAGCTGCCTGTTGAGGCTCTGCAGAAGGGCTGCCCCCAGCTGCAGGTACCTGCCACCCCTCCTCTTCCACCTGCCACCCTCCCTCCCCATCTGCAGCCTGGGCCTTGCTCCAGGTGCTGCGGCTGCTGAACCTGATGTGGCTGCCCAAGCCTCCCGGGCGAGTGGTGACTCCTGGCCCAGGCTTCCCCAGCCTTGAGGAGCTCTGCCTTGCTGGCTGCACCTGCAACTTTGTCAGCAATGAGGCCCTGGGCCGCCTGCTCCACGGCTCCCCTCATCTGCGCCTGCTGGATCTTCGTGGCTGTGCCCGCATCACACCTGCTGGCCTGCATGATCTGCCGTGTCAGGGTCAGCTTTCTCTGGCTGGTGGCTGGGTGGGAGGGATGTGGGTACCTCCTGCCCGCCCCACAGCTCATGACCACTCTTCGCTTCCAGAGCTAGAGCAGCTTCACTTGGGTCTTTATGGCACATCCGACTGGCTGACTCTAGCCAAAGAGGGCAGCCACCTGTTGACCCAGAAGTGGTGCCACACTCTGCGGGAGCTGGACTTGAGTGGCCAGGGCTTCAGCGAGAAGGACTTGGAGCAGGCCTTAGCTACCTTCTCAGCCACCCCTGGGGGCTCACCCCCAGCCTTGTGCTCTGTCAACCTCAGGGGCACCCGGGTCACACCAAGCACGGTCAGGTCAGCATCCCCTTCCCCAGTCCCTTGGAGTCGGTACGGCTTGCCTCCCCGACAAGCCTGGCTTGCAGGCTTCGGGTGTCCAAAAGGGGAGCACTTACTGGCCAAGCCCCTGCTTAGGATGGCCCTTAGGGACACCACGGGTACTGGGCTTGGGCCTCGGTGGCTGTGGGTGGCAGAGCCAGCCGTGGCACCTGGGCAGAGAGGGCTCCTTACACTGGCCTAGCCCTGCCAGGGCCGGGGTCTTCTGGGAGCCAGGGGCTCGAGTCCCCATGGCCTGCCCTGCCCCTACAGCTCTGTGATCAGCAGCTGCACAGGCCTGCTCTACCTCAACCTGGAGTCCTGCCGCCGCCTTCCTCGGGGCCTGAAGCGGGCCTACCGAGGCCAGGAGGAAGTCCAGTGGTGCCTGGAGCAGCTGCTCACCGCCTGCCCTCCTCCAGCTAGGCAGTCCCAGACCCCTGACCCTCAGGTAGCCAGCGGCGCCCTCCACCCTTTTCGCATTTTGGATGTTTGAGCATTTTGTTACAATAAAACATTTTTAGGAACTCTGTGTGGTCCTTTAGGCGGGGATGAGAGGACAGGTGTACCTGAGGGAACCACTCAAGGCTAGAACTGGCCGAGAGCTTGTGGGGTGGGGTGGGGTGGGGGGGTGGCCTTCCAGGGTTCCTGAGGCTGCCTGTGGTCATGCCTTGCTCACTCACTGCTAGGCGTGAATCCTGGACTGAGTGTGTGTATCCTGCCCTCAGGGACACTGAAGTGAGCTGTCTGTGGTTGTGTTTGAAGCTCTGCCCGGGCAAAAGTAGTGATGGGGCGGGGGAGGCCTGCTCAGCCATGGGGTTCAGTGTGGGGAGCCTGCCCGCAGACTTCTCTCCAGCTCAGGCCTGGGATGTCTTGCCATCCTCCCTTCCCGTGAGGACTGTGAACCAGGCTGTGCAGGGGGCCTCTGGTGGTGTGGGGACTCACAGGGAAGTGCGTGCTCACTTCAGGGCCAGGCCTGGGGAGTCCCCGCAGAAGGAGTAGTCAACACAACAGCCCCTTCTAGAACCCGCTGCCCAGAACTTCTAGAACCCAGGCCTCGCCCAGCCTGGACCACCACCTGGTGTCCCTCCTCCGCCCTTTGTTTGAAGGCCGCTCCTTCCTGGACCGCAGCCCTGGAGGCTTTCTTCCCCCAGGTATCAGTGCGACGGCGAGCCCTGGGCGGTGGCAACCTTCCAGCAGCCCAGCTGACCCTCTGTGCCTAACCCAGGCCCCCAAGGGCCGCATTAGCGGCCTGCCCACGACCTCCGGCGGCAAGTGCTTCCAGCTCTGGGCCCTAGGACTCTTCTGCACCGAGCGCCACCTGGCCAAGCGCCTGAAGAACAACAGCTTCTACCCGTTCACACAACAGCAGCCCAATGGTGCGCGTGGACCCGGAACCAGCACGCGGCGGGGGCGGGGCGGGGGCCCACTGTCTGACCCCCCTGCGCTCCCCGCCCCCGGGTAAAATCCTGCTTGGGTGGGGCCGGGGCCTGGACCTGGGGTCTGATTTGAGTGGCGGCGGGGCGGGCCCGGGGCGGGCGGCCGACGGTGCCCCGCGCTGCGCGCGTGTGCGTGCGGCCTGCCGGGCGCCGGCCCCGCCACCCCGGGCTGCGAGCGGGGGCCAGCTGTCCTCACGCGCCGCCGCCGCGCTGCCCGCAGTCTTCGTGCTCGAGTACTACCTGGACACACTGTGGAAGGGGGCGCTGCTCTTCGTCGTCTGCCTCTTCCTCGTCAGCTTCGGCCTTGGGAGCCAGGTGGGCGCTCCGCGGCCCGCCCCCCACGGCCGGCCTCCTGGGGCTGGACCCCTCTCGGTGCCCCGCCCCCACGCCCTTGGCGGCTCAGGTCCCCGTGGCTCCCGCAGGTGCTGAAGCAGGAGACGTGGGGCTTCCCCGCGTGCGGCGTGGGCGTTGGCCTGTGGCTCATGATTTCGTCTTTGCCGCGGCGCCGCCTGGTGCTGAACCACACGCGTGGCACATACCACTTCTCCATCCAGGGCCGCACCGTGTGTCAGGGCCCTATGCACCTGGTCTACGTGCGCCTGGCGCTTAGCTCTGACGGTGAAGCAGGGGAGGGTGTGCCGGGAAGCAGCTTGGGAACACGGGGCGGGGGTGGGGGGTGGCGGGCAAGCCAGCCGTATGCCCTGCCCCCCCGGCCCTGGTCCCCAGAGCCGGCCCCCCCCCGCCCCCCAGCCCTGGTCCCCAGAGCTGGCCCCCCCACCGCGCCCCCAGCCCTGGTCCCCAGAGCCAGCCCCCCCCGCCCCCCCAGCCCTGGTCCCCAGAGCCAGCCGTATGCCCTGCCCCCCAGCCCTGGTCCCCAGAGCCAGCACCCCCCGCCCCCCCAGCCCTGGTCCCCAGAGCCAGCACCCCCCGCGCCCCCACCCCTGGTCCCCAGAGCCAGCCCCCCCTTCCCCCCCACCCCTGGTCCCCAGAGCCAGCCCCCCCCGCCCCCCCAGCCCTGGTCCCCAGAGCCAGCCGTATGCCCTGCCCCCCCGGCCCTGGTCCCCAGAGCCAGCCCCCCCCTGCCCCCCCAGCCCTGGTCCCCAGAGCCGGCCCCCCCCCCGCGCCCCCAGCCCTGGTCCCCAGAGCCAGCACCCCCGCCCACCCAGCCCTGGTCCCCAGAGCCAGCCCCCCCCCGCCCCCCCAGCCCTGGTCCCCAGAGCCAGCCGTATGCCCTGCCCCCCAGCCCTGGTCCCCAGAGCCAGGCCCCCCCCGCCCCCCCAGCCCTGGTCCCCAGAGCCAGCCGTATGCCCTGCCCCCCAGCCCTGGTCCCCAGAGCCGGCCCCCCCCGCCCCCCCAGCCCTGGTCCCCAGAGCCGGCCCCCCCCGCCCCCCAGCCCTGGTCCCCAGAGCTGGCCCCCCCACCGCGCCCCCAGCCCTGGTCCCCAGAGCCAGCCCCCCCCGCCCCCCCAGCCCTGGTCCCCAGAGCCAGCCGTATGCCCTGCCCCCCAGCCCTGGTCCCCAGAGCCAGCACCCCCCGCCCCCCCAGCCCTGGTCCCCAGAGCCAGCACCCCCCGCGCCCCCACCCCTGGTCCCCAGAGCCAGCCCCCCCTTCCCCCCCCACCCCTGGTCCCCAGAGCCAGCCCCCCCCGCCCCCCCAGCCCTGGTCCCCAGAGCCAGCCGTATGCCCTGCCCCCCCGGCCCTGGTCCCCAGAGCCAGCCCCCCCCTGCCCCCCCAGCCCTGGTCCCCAGAGCCGGCCCCCCCCCCGCGCCCCCAGCCCTGGTCCCCAGAGCCAGCACCCCCGCCCACCCAGCCCTGGTCCCCAGAGCCAGCCCCCCCCCGCCCCCCCAGCCCTGGTCCCCAGAGCCAGCCGTATGCCCTGCCCCCCAGCCCTGGTCCCCAGAGCCGGCCCCCCCCGCCCCCCCAGCCCTGGTCCCCAGAGCCGGCCCCCCCCCGCCCCCCCAGCCCTGGTCCCCAGAGCCGGCCCCCCCCGCCCCCCAGCCCTGGTCCCCAGAGCCGGCCCCCCCCGCCCCGCCAGCCCTTGTCCCCAGAGCCAGCACCCCCCGCCCCGCCAGCCCTTGTCCCCAGAGCCAGCACCCCCCGCGCCCCCACCCCTGGTCCCCAGAGCCAGCCCCCCCTTCCCCCCCCACCCCTGGTCCCCAGAGCCAGCCCCCCCCGCCCCCCCAGCCCTGGTCCCCAGAGCCAGCCGTATGCCCTGCCCCCCAGCCCTGGTCCCCAGAGCCAACACCCCCCGCCCCCCCAGCCCTGGTCCCCAGAGCCAGCACCCCCCGCGCCCCCACCCCTGGTCCCCAGAGCCAGCCCCCCCTTCCCCCCCCACCCCTGGTCCCCAGAGCCAGCCGTATGCCCTGCCCCCCTGGCCCTGGTCCCCAGAGCCAGCCCCCCCCTGCCCCCCCAGCCCTGGTCCCCAGAGCCGGCCCCCCCCCCGCGCCCCCAGCCCTGGTCCCCAGAGCCAGCACCCCCGCCCACCCAGCCCTGGTCCCCAGAGCCAGCCCCCCCCCGCCCCCCCAGCCCTGGTCCCCAGAGCCAGCCGTATGCCCTGCCCCCCAGCCCTGGTCCCCAGAGCCAGCCCCCCCCGCCCCCCCAGCCCTGGTCCCCAGAGCCGGCCCCCCCCGCCCCCCCAGCCCTGGTCCCCAGAGCCGGCCCCCCCCGCCCCCCAGCCCTGGTCCCCAGAGCCGGCCCCCCCGCCCCCCAGCCCTGGTCCCCAGAGCCGGCCCCCCCCGCCCCCCCAGCCCTGGTCCCAGAGCCAGCCATATGCCTTGCCCCCCAGCCCTGGTCCCCAGAGCCAGCCCCCCCCGCCCCCCCAGCCCTGGTCCCCAGAGCCAGCCGTATGCCTTGCCCCCCAGCCCTGGTCCCCAGAGCCAGCCCCCCCCGCCCCCCAGCCCTGGTCCCCAGAGCCAGCACCCCCCGCCCCCCCAGCCCTTGTCCCCAGAGCCAGCACCCCCCGCGCCCCCACCCCTGGTCCCCAGAGCCAGCCCCCCCTTCCCCCCCACCCCTGGTCCCCAGAGCCAGCCCCCCCCGCGCCCCCACCCCTGGTCCCCAGAGCCAGCCCCTGCGGGCCCCCGAGTCCCCAGGCTGAGCTGCTTTCCCCTCTCCAGCCTATGGGAGCTGCTTCTTCCAGTTGGTTCTGTGCGGCCACAAGCTAGAGCCCCTGGTGCTGGTGCAGCTGTCGGAGCGCTATGAGGTGGGTCCCGCCTCAGTCCGCCCTGCGGCCCCCACACACTGCACTCCTCTGCCCGGTTCTGCAGGAGGCCTACCACTGCTCAGGGGCTTAGGCTGGGCCCTTTCTCAGGCAGCGCGTGAACACCACGCGGGCCGCGGCCCAGGCCTTAGCGCGGGCAGCTGGTGGAGAGAGCGCCAGGGCTGGCCGGCCTCCTGACCGCCACCTGTCCCCACAGCAGACGGAATACCTGGGCCGTCACATTGCCCGGAAGCTCAACATTAACTACTTTGACTACCTGGCCACGTCATACCGGCACGTGGTCCGCCACTGGCCGCTGGGGGCCACCTTCAGCCCGGGCATCGTGCAGCGCAAGACGGGCCCTTCCGGCAAGCGGATCTCCCAGCAGGACCTGGACGTGTGACGCTCCAGGCAGCCCCCGCCCCGGGACTGCATTCTCCCGTCCCCGCCAGTCTCTCACCTTCCCCCGACTGGTAGTCTCCCTCTCAATAAAGCTGTCTCTTGCCACCAGGCGAGTGTCTCCTCTGCGGGGGGCGGGGGGGCGGGCCCCCGCTCCAGGGTCTCCCCCAAGTGCACATCTCCCAGGGCCTCAGGCAGCAGATCTTGGAGCTGGGTTGGAAGATTGGGGGTGGGGATAGGAGCAGAGCGAGTCAGGAGGGGCAGCCCTCCCGGCCTTTGAACTCATCACTGGCAGGTGTGGGACTCGCAGCCTCTCCCCATCGGCAGCACTTACTGGTCCTGTCCGGCCTTGGAAGTGCGGACCAATGAGCGGCATCCAGCAGGCAGAATCTGGTCAGTCCAAGTCAGTTCCTGGTCCAGTCAGCCGTGGGATGGGGCACAGCCACCAGTCCAGCCTTGTGCCTGGGGGCACATCTTGGGCTAGACCGTCCCCAGAGTGGCAGCTGCCTTGCTCCTAGGGAGTAAGCTGCAGAGCCCTAGGCCACAGTTCAAGGCCTACTGGAACACCAGTCCCATATTCCCTTGTCCAGGGGGCGTCCCCGTGATCTGGGTGCTGGGAGCCACTGTGGGAGCAGAGAGGGCAGCAGGCCACTGGGGACTCAGGAGGAGTGGCAACTGGACTGACCATGTGGCTCTCCCAGTCAGCATTTTCCCTCAGGGCCATGCTGGTGACCCAGGTCTTTGGGCACTGTGTCAATGAGTGTGTCTGGAGCCAGAATCAGCTGCATAATTTGCAGGCCCCCAAGTAAAACAAAAATGTAGTCTCCTGTTAAAAAGTTATTAAGAACATCCAGAAGGGGGCGCCTGGGTGGCTCAGTGGGTTAAGCATCTGCCTTTCCCTCAGGTCCCCATCCCATGATGGGATCTAGCTGAACATCAGGCTCCCTGCTCAACGGGGAGCCTGCTTCCCCCTCTCCCTCTGCCTCCCCCTCCCCGCCCCTGCACTTGCACACATGTGCACTCTCTAATAAATAAAATCTTTTTTAAAAAGAATTTCCAGGAGACACTAAAGCATTAAACCCAGTATGGGGCGCCTGGCTGGCTCAGTCAGTGGAGCATGTGACTCTTGATCTCAGGATTGTGAGTTAGAGCCCCACATTGGGGGTAGAGTTTACTTAATTAAAAAAAACAAAACAACAGCAACAACAAAACCTAGTATGGGCCCTTCTGAGCTTGGGGTCCTGCATGACTGCCCAGGTCACGTGCTATGAGTCTGGTCCTGCCTGGAACCATGGCTCAGTCACTCTCTGATCAGCTCCCGATCCCAAGGCTGGCCAAACTCAGTGGGTGCACAGACGCCCCTGCCTTTCTCAGGAAAGATCGAGGAGCTGCTGGAACTGCTTTAGGCAGTCCCGGGGAGCAATTATTACTCACGGCACAAGTGTAGGGTCTCCTTGCCCCTCAGAAGATAAGGCCCAAGTTATCCCCAGACTGAGAGTGCCCTGCTTTTACCAGGGGACGGGCTGGAGAGGGTGAGCAGGGCAGTGATGGGCTTGGGACGGGTTGAGGAACAATGTTATGGTGGAAGGGGAGGAGTGGGAGGTGTAGGTCATGGGGCTAGGCTAGCTGGGTAAGTGGCTTTTGCCTGAGCTAGACCCGGGGTGCTGTCAGCTTTGAAGGGTTAGAAAGACATGCCAGTCCCTCGGGCTCTGGGGGGATGCTCAGATCTGTCAGTGCTTCAGGTTGGGGACTCAGTTTCATCTAGGAAGGCAAAGTTCCTGCCCTCCTGGAGCTGACAAACTTAAGAGGGACAAACACTGAAGAGCTAACTTGTATACTGCCAAAGTGGCAGGGAAGGGGGATGGGGTCCCCCTAGCTAGGGGATCAGGGAAGACCTTTCCAAGGATGCAGCATTTGAGCTGATAAGGAGCTGGGGGCCATGGGGAGCTCTGGAGAAGAGCACCTGCGCAAGGGGATGGGAAGTGTAAAGGGTGTGATACGGGAACAAACTTTTGGCTGGACAGAAGAGGAGAGCATTGACAACACATTGTGACTGCAAGCAGGATCTCTTTGCCCATCCTCCACTTGTTCCTTAAAAAGAACACCCCCCCCCCATGTTTAACTAGGCATATTGTCCCACAGAATAAAGACTGCATTGCCCAGCCTCCATTACAAATAGATATATGTGGTCTTAAGACTAATTCCTGGCCAATGTGATATAAGAATCGGTATGTATAATTTCCAAACATGTCCTGAAAGGGAGGGGTTTGCCTATCTTTGCCAGTTCCTTTTTTTCCCCTCTGGCCTAGAACGCACCCACAATGACTGGAGCTCAAGCAACCATCTTGGACCATGAGGTAGAATGAATGAGTTGAGGAGGGCACAACAGCAAGATAGAATCGTAGAGCTTGAAGGCTGCAGCTACCCTGCCAACTCTGGATGGCTTTTCAACTCTTTGCAAAAGAGAAAAACTTCTATGGTTTATGCTATTGTTATTTGGAGTTTTCTAACGCTTGTAGCCAAGCCCCTGATTCTAATTAAAAAAAAAAAAAAAAGATTGTTAGCTTCAAGGGGTGGTGGGTGGGTGGAGATTCAGAAGCTTCAAGGAAAAAGAAAAGGCAAGGGGTGAAGTAGTCTTCCCAGAGAATGAAAGACAAACTGGATAAAGAAAGTGTAGTAAGATTTTCTGGCTGCATAAGAGAGCCCACTTTTAGATGTGTGTTGTAAATTTTTTAAAATTAAAAAAAAATTTAAAGCCCAACTCAGGGCTCGATCCCAGGACCCTGAGATCATGACCCAAGCCAAAGGCAGACACTTAACCGACTGAGCTACCCAGATGCCCCGTGTGTTGTAAATTTAAAGAACGAGTGAGTGTGGTTTTATGTTTTTCTCTAGCAAAGTTTTGCTGCTCGGATGCAGGGATGGAGTAGGAAGACAGTTTGGTCTAACAAGGGTTGGGAATTAGTAAGGATAATATTATAAGAGTGTGGGGTTCGGGGAAGTGATTATAATTTTGGACTATGGGACTTGAGCTGGGAAGGCAGAGCGTGAGGACAGGAGTTGAGAGGCAAAGAACAAGGAGCTTCAGTTCTCTATTGATATATAACCAACCACCCTAAACTTAAGGGCTTAAAAGAGCAAATACTTATTGTTTTGTGGCCTGGCTGGGCTCAGCTGGGTGGCTCCTGTCCACACATGTAGCTGGTGTCGCTCATGTGGCTGCATCAGCTGGGAGCTCAGCTGGGGCCAGATGTCCAAGTTAACGCCCATCCTCCAGGGCCTCTTTTCAAGTGGTGTCTCATCTTTCAGGAGACTATTTTGCTACTGGTTTCCAAGAAGACTAGCCCCAGTGGGCCACAATCCCATTAAGCCTCTGTATGCATCATTCATGCTAATGTCCCAGTGGCCAAGCAAGTCACATGTCCAAGCCCAGAGTCAGTGTGGAAAGGGTCTACCAAGTACATGAAAACCAGGAGTCTTATAGGGGGTCATGAAGGTAGGCAGTCCACCACCGCCCACCCTCTGGCCTCTCCCAAGGCCACCAATATCCCATCACAGCACCCAGCTCAGACCTCAAGTCCAGGATCTTGCATCTAAGTCAGGTCCAGGTGCAAATGAGGTTGCTCAGGTATCCTTCCTTGGGTGCAACCCAGCTGTGTGGGTCCTCAGTGCAGAGACTCATGAACTAAAAAAAACCAAACAAACAAAAAACAAGTTCTTGGGGCACCTGGGTGGCTCAGTTGTTAAGCGTCTGCCTTCGGCTCAGGTCATGATCCCAGGGTCCTGGGATCGAGCCCCGCATTGGGCTCCCTGCTCTGCGGAAAACCTGCTTCTCCCTCTCCCACTCCCCCTGCTTGTGTTCCCTCTCTCGCTGTGTTTCTCTCTCTCAAATAAATAAATCTTAAAAACATACACACACAGTAAATTACCTTTAAAAATAAATTTTCCTGGGGCGCCTGGGTGGCTCAGTCGTTGAGCGTCTGCCTTCGGCTCAGGTCATGATCCCAGGGTCCTGGGATCGAGCCTCGCATCGGGCTCCCTGCTCAGTGGGGAGCCTGCTTCTCCCGCTCCCACTCCCCCTGCTTGTGTTCCCTCTCTCGCTGTGTTTCTCTCTGTCAAATAAATAAACAAAATCTTTAAAAATAAATACATAAACAAGTTCTCTTTCCCTACAGACACAATGTACATTAATGAGACAGGGACAGAATATCTTCAATAGACATTTCTATTAAAATATGGGAGAAGCCTCGAGTGTGGGCTGGATCTAGGGACTTGCATCCAAACAGTAGAGTATGGAAAAGGACAAATAATAACTTTACAGTAGAAGAACCTGGCAGACACCGCCCTAAGCGAGTAATCAAGGTCAGCATCACCGCTGATAAGTCCTGCTGACATCATGTCTCTCTGCTGTGATGCAATGAGACCACATCAGGGGCGCCTGGGGAGCTCAGGTTGTCAGGCGTCTGTCTTCTGCTCAGGTCATGACCCCAGGTCCTGGGATCGAGTCCCACGTCAGGCTCCAAGCTCAGCGGGGAGCCTGCTTGTCGCTCTCCCTCCACCTCTCCCCTTGCTTGTGCTCTCTCTCTCTCTCAAAGGAATAAATAAAATCTTAAAAAAGAGAGAGAGAGAAGACCACATCACCTCCGAGGTCTCCTCCCCAAACCCAGAACTCCAGGCTAATCACAAGAGAACATCAGACAAACCTCAGTTGAAGGACATTCTACAAAAGTGACCAGTACTCCCCAAAACTGTCAAGGTCATGAAAAAGAAGGAAAGACAAAAATTGTCAGACCACAGGAGACTAAGGAGACTAAATGCAATGTGGTCCCTTGAATTGGTTGCTGAAACAAAGAAAATGTCAGTTAAAAAAAGTGAACTCCAAATAAAGCCTGGAGTTGAGTTAATAGTAACGTACCAGTGCGGGCTTCTCGGTTGTGACAGACGTACCATAGAAATCTAAGGTACTGACATTAGGGGAAGATGAGGGAAGAGTGTCCAGGAAGTCTCTGTATTATATCTGCAATTTTTCTGTTAATCTAAATTTATTCTAAAGTACAATGTTTTCTAAGAAAGATTTTATTTATTTATTTGACAGAAACACAGCGAGAGAGGTAACACAAGCAGGGGGAGTGGGAGAAGGAGAAGCAGGCTTCCCGCGGAGCAGGGAGCCTGATGTGGGGCTCGATCCCAGGACCCTGGGATCATGACCTGAGCCGAAGGCAGAGGCTTAACGACTGAGCCACCCAGGCACCCCTCAGAGAATTTCTTACTCTGAGTAGCTTTTGCAAGCTGGAGAGACTGGGAATGAAAAAAATGTTTTACTTTCCAACCCAGTAAGTCCTAGACTGGAAATATTTTCTCCAAATTCTTCTTGAAAACTAAACAGTTCTCTCTTTAGCTCATTCATCACTTGTCATATCATTCATTGTGAAAAGAAGCCAACTGTCCCCGATTTCCTAGGGCTGCTGGGTGGGTTAGAATGACAGCGCTTTATTTTCTCGCAGTGCTGGAGACCACAAGTCTGAAATCAAGGTGTTGGCAAGGTTCATTCCTTCTGGAGTCTCTGAGGGAGAGTCTGCTCCAGGCCCCTCTTCCAGCTTCTGGTGGTGTCAGAGGTCTTTTGTGCCCCTTGGCTGACCTGCCTCTGTTCTCACGCATCTCTGTGTCTTCATAGGATGCTCTTCTGTCTTGCGTGTGTGTTTCTTCTCCTTGTAAAAGCACCTATTGAATTAAAAGTCCAGCCTACTCCAGTGATGGCTTCCTCTTAACTAATTACGTCTGCAGTGACCTTATTCCCAAATAGCATCACATTCTGAAACACTGGGGGTTAGGGCTTCGATAGATTTTTTTTTTTTTTTGCAGGGACAGGTGTGTCACACTTTAGGAGTGCTGGGATAGGT